GCGCCCTACGCAAGCTCCGCAGACGCCGAGCGCGGGAGGCTGGCCCTGCGGTGCTCCCGCGGACGCGGCGGCGGCGGCGGTGAGCCTTTGTATCCCGCGGCTGGTGCGTGGCGGTGTCTCTCTAGGCGGCTGTTTGCCATTCGGTCACGTGTGGTAGGAGGAGAGATTCGTCTGAAAACCCGAGACCGTTCAGGGCTCTGGAGCCCCGGGGAAGGGGGTCCCAGTTGTCCCTGGGTTTACGAAAAGGAGCTCGTGGTGTTTGAAAGGTGACCCCCCGGGCCTTCCTCCGCCACATCACCGACTTTGGCACCGCTTTGGCGGAAATGTATGCAAAGGGATTGAGGGCTTGCAGGTGCCTGTTGCCTTTGTTCCAGTGATTGGTGCATTTCATTGTACTCCACGTGGGCTGCAGGTCCAGACCAGGGGTGGGGAGGGAGGGGGGATCGTCATGTTGTTGTTTGTCCTATAAAGGTATTTGTTTAAATATAAGTGAAACTGATTTTCTCCCATCCTTCCCATCTTTGCCTTGTGTCCTCTTTCACAACAACAACAACAAAGCCAAATAAACAACCATGACGCAGTACCCGAGACGATGCTTTCATGCGATGTTTCTGTGAGGGGCCAGGCTTCCCCGATTAGCTCTATAAATTGTGGTTCTTCCCAAATTGTTATTTATTTTTTCCCTTGGGAGGAGGAGCTAAATTTTGAGTTTGGGTCTTTGTTAGGGAGGTCTATTGCTTAGAAGCTTTATCTGATTTGTAATAGGACATTCAAAAGTGTCGTCTAATCAAACCTTAATAGTTTGCAAGTCTGAAATTTAGTACTCATCCAAACCGAACTAAAGTCAAGAAATGAACAATTACACCACATATCACAGATGCCTTTGAACTGTTTGTTTTAGCCTTTTCTAAGCTGGTCTTTGAGGCTCTCATTTGGGTAATGCTGGATGTCTTTCTTGACCTAGTAGATGTGTCCCACCATTGTGTCTACACCTAGTGCCCCAATTAAGAATCTGACCTTTAAAGTAATACTATTAATAATAATGCACTCTGTAGGTTCCTTTGACTGGTTCTTACACTGATAGAATTCTCTGTATCTAGAACACGTTCACATTTATGGAACACTTTGACTTACTTTACATTACAAAAATCAGATTTTTGTTTTTGATCAATGTCTACAAATATGAATGTCTCTTCTAGTGCTATTTATAATGCAAAGGTCAGTGACACATAGTTAATCTTAGTGCAACTGACAGTTCAGATGCACATTATCTTCAGTACAGGTCAGAATGTCAAGTCTTGTAAGAGTTACACCCAATATAATACCCAGTGTTAGACAAGGAAGGGATTATTTCTACTTGGAGAGTCATCAAAGAAGACAAAAGAGATTACATTTGAAATGACCCTTAAAGAAATAACCTATTCTAGGCTCACGCCTGTAATCCTAGCTACACTGAAGGCTAGGATCTAAGGATTGAGGTTCAAAGCCAACCTGGGCAGGAAAGTCCATGAGACAGCAAGAAATGAAGCTGTGGCTCATGTCTTGAGGAATTAGAAAGGAAGAAAAAGCTCAGGGACAGCTTCCAGGTCATGAGTTCTTGCTCCAAGACTTGCTTGAAAAATAACCGAAACAGCCAAATGTGAATAAGGAAAGAGTTCCTGATACCACGATCAGTAAGAGCCAACACTGGAGGAGAAAGATCCCAGATTAGTTGAGTAGATTTGAGGTCTAGGGAGAAAAAGCCAGAAAAGAAAATTGGGGTCTTTCAGGAAGAAGAGATCTATTAAGGCACTAACAACATTGGTCTTGGAGGATTCTTTGCTGGTAGTGATTGAGAGACCTCTTAGGAAGCACCTAAATGAAGAGGAGATTGAATATACAGTACTAGGAACTACAGAGGGTGGGGCTAGGAAGGTGGCTCAGTGGTAGAGTGCTTGCCTTGTATGCATGAGGCCCTGGGTTCAACTCCTCAGCACCACATAAGCAGAAAAAGCTGAAAGTGGTGCAGTGGCCCAAGTGGTAGAGTGCTAGCCTTGAGCTGAAAAGCTCAGGGACAGTGCCCAGGCCCAGAGTTCAGACCCCATGACCAATTAAAAAAAAAAAAAAAAAAACAACCACAGAGAGTATAAGGTTTGAGGCAAATAAAAGGGAGCAAAAAAAAATCTGAAGAAGGAAAAAAATGTTCTAAGTAGCAACTGTATCTTCTTACGCACATTAAAAAGCACACTTGTCACAAAACATGAGCATCTTTTACATGTATTCTTCTTTGCTCCTCAGTCTCTAAAAGTGAAAAGCAGTTCCAGCGTGTACATAGACTTAGACATCTATCTCTCCCACACCAGAAGATAGAATTTACTTACATTCTTTCTACTCTGCTGAAACAGCCAGCTCATCCTGAACAAGATCAGACAGTTCTCTCAACATGAACCCTTTGGTGGCATGAGCAAGGAACAAAGGAACCTCTATAACCAGAACTCCCAGTATACATGAGCACATTCCCTCCAGACCTTGCCCTGTAACACTGGGAGCAAGCACACTGGAAACATTCCTAGATCCTAGTTGTATGATCTGGGGCAGCATACTAAACCTATCTGAACTTCAGTCTCCTCTTAAAATGACTATAATAAAATCAACTGAACACAGACAAGATAGACATGTTAGCAATTCTATATGTATGTGCCAGACCAGAGCTTGAACTTGAGGCCTTATGCTCTAGATAGAATTTCTTGCTCAGAGTTGTCACTTTACCATTTGAGCCATGCCTTCAGTACAGTCTTTTGCTCATTTATATTCTGCCAGGTCTGGCTTCAAACCAAGATCTTCTCTCAGCTTCCTGGATCTAGGATGACAGGTGTGAGCCACCTGCACCCAGCTCAACTTAGCAATTTTGAAGGGATGATAATCTCAGTTTATCAAATGATAGTGCATTCATATGTAATACCCATACTTGTTGAAATATGATTCACAAAGGAAAGAAAATCCCATTTTCTCCTAACTTCTCTTAATTTATTTGTATGGTACATCCCTGTAGTTAAGGTCAGGACAAAAGCCAGATTACTTGGATTCAAATAGCATCTCTGCCATGTATTGACCATCACTGGGTTTCAAGCCCAGCGCTTCTTGCAGAAGTAGCATGTACTCTCACCACTGAGCTACATCCCCATAATTTCTTATGGCATCTTATATTCATAAATCCTTACAGTGCTTTAACTAAAATAGCTTGCCTAAAACAAAGCTCAGGAAAGAAAGATCAGGTAGTAAACCATTTTAGGAATGATGGTTACAAAAAGAGACAGAGACCTTGAGTACCTTGAATAGCTAAGAAAAGTAAAGGAAATGCTGACAGAACGATAGCTCTAAAAGAGGCATTACCTAGATGCACTTTTAAATGTGCAAGGATCACAGAAATTCCTGAGGGAAAGAGTTCCTCTCCCCCACTTCAAAGTAAGTTCTCACTGATGCTTGTTCTGTTTTATCCTTTCCTCACTCTTTCTCTGCTTTTCCTCTTTTTCCTTTTATTTGCTGTAAGGCTGAGAACAGAATGA